TTGCTGTGAAGCTTTGTAATCCTTAAAGCAGCTATAGAGCAAGTCTGACAATGTAATACTCTCCCTCCCCCACTCAATAAACACCAGTGGCTCTGTGACCTCTAGAATAAAATCTTTGGCATTTATAATCCTGCCTCCTTCCCACATTTCCAGTTTTCTTATACATTACTCCCCTCACTCTGCATTCCACATATACTGGCCTACTTTCTATTTTGCACCCAGGATACTACTTTCCCCTCTGTACCTTTGTACTAACTGTCCCCTATGTCGTAAATGCACTCCCTCTATGGCATCTTACTCAGCCTCCTCTCACTGGAACTGGGCTCCCATCCCTGAGACCTAGTCTCAGATAGGTAAGCTTTTGCCTTACCTTACCCTACTCTTGGGCCCATCACATCATTTCCTTGGCCAACCATACCACCAAACTTGGACCCTCTACCATGCCCTATTCTTTTTGACCCTTGCTTCCCTCTAAATGTCTTTCCCAATTGGAATATAATCTCCTTGAGAACAGGGACTATCTTGCTTGTATCTATATCTCTAGCTCTTAACATAGCACCTGACACATAGAAAGTGCTTAATAGATGTTGTTTTTCCTTTCATTTTCCCACCTCTCTCTCTTGAAATCCCTGGTTTCCTTCAAGACCTGATAACCTCCAAGATCCCTTTCAGCTCTTAATTTAGGACTGTATGTCCTGTGACTCACCCAGTTCTACCGGAAATCTTTCCTAATCCTCCCCTGCTCTCCTACTCCCCCATCCCAAGCTGTACTAATGCCTTCTCTCCCCAAGCTACCTTGTATCTATTTTGTTTATACTGAGGAAACTGAGGCAATTGAGGGGATTAGGACAGCTAGTGGGAATTGAGTGAACCACACTAACTCCATCTTGTGACACAATTCTGGAGTTAGTTCTTTTTTTAATCAATTACAGGTCTAGACAAAATTCTGTACTGTGAGAAAACTGTTCAGTCATGAAAATTGGGAGAAAACTTGATTGCAATTTTGAACCTAGCACTGTGTGGCTGGGAAACTGGACCACCTCTCCCTGTTGCTTAGAGACCCTTAACTAAGGACCTAAGTTATGTTGACCAGAAGCTCAGTCAGATTCAAAGACTGATGCAAGGAGTTTTCTCACAATTATAAATCTCAAGAGATCTGTGTGTCTTATCTGAAAACTAGCCCTGTACTGATCAATCAGCTGTTGTTTCCATGTGTCCTTTGATTGTTTATAGGCACTTGGAAAGGGAGTGAGATACCTCTTTTTCTGAATTCAGAGAATTTCACCTGTTCGCTCTCCACCTCCCAGTTTGGAAAGTCCCTAATCTTTCATCCCATTAGAAATCAGATTATCTAATGTCGTATTGTTTCCTTTTAACTAATTGGCCTTATTTGAGCAATTGTTTTAATGTATAGAAGTCTCTCTGCCTCTGTATTTGGGGTCCAGGCCCAAGTTGAGATAGAGACCTGGTCCTGCTTTGTTCAGCAATTGCCATGCATTGCTAAATAAATTGATAAGCTCAGAAGATCGAACCTTTGTTTTCAGTACTCTAAATATACTTTTATGTGTCATTCAGTCAATAAACAGTTATTAAGTGTCTACTGTGTGCCAGGCATTGCACATGTTGTAAAGGCATATGTGCACCTGCAGATTGTTTTCCTAGTTAGAATTTAAGTTCCTTAAGGGCAGAAAGTGTTTCACCTTTGTCTTTGTATCCTGACCTTTTAGCCTCGTGCCATACGGGCATATACTAAGCACTTATAAAAACTTGCCATTGATTAATGTGAGTTGTAAAGGGGATGGGTTGGAGCCAGCTCTAACTGGAACCCATTGTCTAATTTTCAGTGTGGGCATTTATGCCTGGCTTATTGTTTTGTTGATTGTCTGGACTTAAGAAAGTGACAGAAAAAATGTTAATAATGCAGATTAAACTTAAAAATGTGTCGGGTACACATTTTTTTAGAGAGGCATTTGTTAAACATTTATCGACACACCACTGGTTAGAATATATTTAAAGAATTTTGAAGACTGTAAAGCATTATATAAATGTCAGTTATTAATCATTATTTACATTAATAATGTTGCAAATAACACAAAATATTAATATAAATTAGATGATATACTATTATTAATAAATATCATTAATAGTAATTGTTATCATCATTACTTATGAAGTGTATATCCAGCTGTAGTGTGGTACAGGGACCTGAATTCAAATCATACCTTTATCACTTGTGTGACCTTGAGCAAGACACTTAACCCTCCTTGACCTCAGTTTTCTCAAATACAAAATAAGGGAGTTGGACCAGATGGTTTCCGATGCTGCTTTCAGTTCTAAATCTACGCTTGATGATCCTAGGCCTAGTCCCTAGCTGGGCTTCCCCATTTGTTTGCCTTGCTCACCATCTCCCAGATGGATGCTATTGGTCACTAGGTGGAGCTGATGATGAGAAAGTGTGACTGGATGAGAGCAAATACAACTGCTCATCTGGAAAATCTGGTCAGTAGTTTCACCTTCAGCTATACGAAGAGTGTAGTTGAGCACTTGATAATATCGCTAACCAGTGTGCCATCTCGTGGTCACAAAAGAAACTACCACATTCATACAGGGAGGTTTACCCAGAAAGACTTCAGTCTCATTCCATTCCATCCTATTCCAACCAATACATGCATATTTTGCCTCTGCGCTAGCATATCATCGCCCCTCCTCCCCTTTTTCTCTCATTTGCAGTCTCTCACTCTGTGCTGTAATTCCTGTCCTCAAGGAGTTTACAGTCATAAGAGCTTGGGTTCATAAGACTGGAAGGGACCTCAGAGGCCACTTAATTCAACTCCCTTATTTTATAGATAAGAAACCTGAGGCCTAGACATGCCAAGTGATTGATTCAAGGTCACAAAGCTAGTAAGCAGCAGGATCTGCTAGTAGGGGCATGGTTAGAATGTTACAAATGCACATGAAAGGTCCAAAAAAGAGGGCTGAAAGATTGGGGAAGAAGGGAGGAATGGATTACTTTTTTAATGGGGGCAGGAAGACTTTAGGGAGAAGGTGGCTGGCACTTGAGCTGAGTCTTGAAGGATTTCAGTGGGTGGAGATGTGGATGGAATCCATTCTAGTCATGGGGGACAGTCTGAGTAAATGCTTTAAGGTGGCCGAGGGCAGAATGGATATGGGAGCATGGCTGATATTCTAGTAAGGATAGAATGTAGTATGTGGGAAGTGGAATAAGGCAGTTTGAAGCCAGATTGCTGAGAGCCTTGTTTGCCAAGATAAGGAGTTTGTGTTTTACATTGTAGGTAATGGGGAGCCACTGAAAATTAGTAAGTGAGAAAGTGCCCTATTAGACCTATACACTAGGCAGGTTATTTTGACAGATTTGTGAAGGGTGGGCAACATGGTACAATGGAAAGAGCATTAGATCTAGAGTTAGCAGACTTGGGTTTTAAATCCTAACTGCAATTAATTTCCACTTTGTAAATATTTCTTTGAATGAATGAATGAATGGCTCCCTTCAGTACCATCAGCACTAAATACCACCACAACCTTCTCCGGCTTTGCTGGCAGCAGTGGCAATAAGACATGGGCATAGAGACTACCAAGTTCCATGTTTGTGGAAGATGAGCTTTGAAAGTTGGGATTATTCTATTCTTTGTATTTTTAGTTCCAGATCCTAGAATAGTACTTGGCACCTAGTAGGCACTTAATAAATGCTTATGGATTGATTGATTGTGGGGGGGTTATGCTGGTGGCAGGGAGGGTGGCTGCCATCCTGATCCTGCCTCCTTGATAGGGCAATTTGAGTTGGATTTGTTTGGGGGAGGAACTGGCTAAGGGACACGAGCTCCAAGCATGTTAAAGGATGTTATCAGCACCTCATTCCATTAGAAAAAGCTTCTCCCTCCCTCCCACCCACCTAAGCTTTAAATATCTCAATCTCCTGGGAGAATTGAACACTCACATTGAAGTGGGGTGGCAGATCTGAATTCTGGAAGATCTCTTCAATAAAGAAGAGACCTGAGCTAAGGTTCCCAGGCACTTGGGGGAGAGACATCATGAGCAGGAAGGAACCATTACTTTCCAACTTGTCCCCCTACCTTGTCCCTGCCAGAACCCACCCCCTCTCACTAAGCAACTGATAGGATAGAATAAAATGTTAGAGCTGAAGGGAATGCTAGAGATCAGCATCCAAGTGCAATATATTCATTTTACAGATGAGGAAGTTGGGTACCAGAGAGGTTGTGCAAGATAACACAGCTAGTCATCAGGGTCTGAACAGGGATTAGACCCCAGGACTTTTGTCTCCTAATTCTTCTTTCTTTCCACTATATCCTGCTGATGTTAAAAGAAGGGGGCAGGAGGCTGGAAGAGGGGCAGAATTTTGCCTGCCTAGTGAAGGGGAAAGGGAAACTGCCTCCAAAGGGGTCTCCAAAGAGCTCTGGATTGGGAGGGAGCCAGAGGATCTAAGTTCAAATCTGAGTATTTCTTACCTGTGTGACCATGAGTAAATCATTTAGTTGTTCTGTGCCTCAGTTTCATTATTTGAAAGTAGGGACTAGATGACGTTCGTGGTTCTTTCCAGCTCTAAATCTATGCTCTTATGGAGAATTATGGCACAGAGTGATGAATGAGGTGGGAGGGCTTAGAAACTGGCAGTCCTGCATTTGAAGTCTAAAACTTGGCTATGTCCTGAACCCAATTTGGAAAGTGGGTTTTCCAGAGCTCAGTGAGGAACAGAGGAATAGGGGATAGCATGATGAGAGCTAGGGGGCCCAACTCACGAAGACAGAAAACTTCAGTTTCCTCTCCTTTTGAATGAGTGGCAGTGGCAGAATTTCCATTCAGGTCGCTGTTAGCAACTCCGGGATTCGACAGCAGCTTCTATTTCAGAGTTTATGGTAAGTGACTGGTGCAGACACACTGACACACACACACACAAACACATACCACACACCCAGCCCTTTAAGGAAGTGGGTAGCAGAGCAGCAGGGGTGTGGTTAGCAACTCAGAGGAGGAAAGAGGGGAAACCTGTCAGCTCTCCTCTCACTCTGCACAGGCAGCTACCGGGTGAAGCAACTAACTGCTCAGCCCCTTACGTGTCCTGCTAGATCCTCCACCTTACCAACTCCAGCTTAGGAGAGACCCCCAGAAGAACTATACTCTTTGCCACTTCTGCCTTCCACGTGAGTTTCCCCTCTCTTAATTCCGGTGGGTGGGTAGGGGCGGTAGGGGAAAGTTGTCGGCTTTGCCTCAGTGGAATGGTCTGGCCTGTGGCTCTGGTTACCTGGACAGGACTGGGCAGGGGGTGCAGTGCAGAGGAACTGGGAGTTCCTGGGAGGAGGAGGATCAGGAATTCATAACCGAAAGGTACTGGGTGTGTGCGTTTGGGGGAGGGGGTTTATTTGTATGTGTCTGGGTGCGCTCGAGATGTGTTCGGCAAGGGAAAAGTGAACCTATTTTGGGATGTGAGTTGAGACTGTGGGGCTGGATATGTTTTTGGTCCACTTGATGTACTTGGAAGAAGAAAAAAGGTTATATATAGATGAAGGCTCAGAGACCCCATGGGTCTTTAGAAGTTAGGTTTGAGAGATGGTTAAACCCAGTCAGGGGCTTTCAGGGCTCAGCCTCAGTTCCATCTCAACAGCTTCTCTAAACATCAATGCTCCCTTTCTCTCTCCCTCTAATCCCTCTGGTTTTCTTAAAAAGCCTTTTAGCTATATAATTCTCTCCGTCCTTTCCATCCCCACCTCCCACATCCTCCGCCCCCATATCCTCCAACCCCTAGTTTCTTGTTGTCTTTTAGCAGGGAACATTATGAATATGGTATCACAAAGCAGGTGATATCTATGGCACTTGATCTCTTTGGTGGGGGACAAAGTTAACACCTTCTAGGCCAGTACTTTTCTTAAAGTCATTCCTTCTAGTAGCTGCCAAAGGGTTAAGTTCTATGCTCCCTCTCTTCTGGCTGTCAGGCTGTGCGTGGGCAAAGCCCATGGCTGCAGCCTCCTGGTGGGTGAATGCAGAACATATGGGTGATATTACATGCCCACCAAATTCAAGCACCTGCCCTAGCCTTCCATCACATGACATGAAGAACCCTTACCTCCTGGTCTCTCTAGGAGAGAGGACTGGGGTTTGACACACCTGGGCTCCCTCCAGGTGCTGGAGTGCAGGCTGTAGCCAGAAGGATGGCACACTATGTATGCTGGGTCAGCATCAGGATGTGGATATAACATTTGTTATCTTCTGACCAGAGGGGTGATGGCTTAAAAAACTCCAGTTATACTAGGGGCAGTGAGTTTAGGGGGAACAGAGAGCTTCACCCCTTCTGACTTCTCAATAAGGCTGAGAAAACTATTCTGATCTAGAAGCCAGAACTAAGACATTTTGCTGTTAATGCTTTGACCAGGGTATGCAGATGATACTTAAGGCTCTAGTTTAGGTTGAAGGATCAGAGGATCAAAGCTACAGAACTGGAAGGGACATGTAGTGGCGATTTAGGCCAAACCTGTCATTTCACAGATGAGAAAAATGAGGCCCAAAGATGTTCAGTGACTTGCCCAAGGTGACACAGACAGGATCTACTCCTTCCCCTGCTATTCCTAATGTGACAGTGCCGGGGCATTTTGCACCAGGTCCAAGATTTCCCAGGTATGCTACTGGCTCTCAGAATAGCTGTGGATGCTATACAGCCAGGGCAGCTAATGTGGGCAGTGCTCAGTTCAAGGAGAGAGATTCCGGGAGACAGATCTCTGGTTTGAGAATCAATTCTCAGTTCTTCTTTAAGCTACATCCTTGATTTTCCATATAACCTATGAGAAGACACCTTCCTGGACCTGACTTAAGTTTATTCATGTAAACTATTGAGAGGGTCCTTTAGGGTTGAAAAGAAGATTTTCAATATGAATGTATAGGTAGAGCCTATATCAAATTGCACACTGTCTTGGGGTGGAGGTAGGGGAGAGATGGAGAGAAAATTTGGAACTCAAGATCTTATGGAAGTGAATGTTGAAAACTCAAAAATAAATAGATAAAAAAGAAGATCATAGGATGATGGACTTATAAAGTGTCATGGTGACATCTTGGCCTATCTCTCAGGGAGGGGATGACTAAGATAATAAGTAGCCAAGAAGTGCTTGGAGTTCCTTAAATGCAATTTATACTTATCTTCCAGAGGATTTATGGCTCTTTACTAGGCACAAAGAAAACATATTACTGTATTATTGTGCCTCTTTGAGTGGTGGGCTGAATCTTGACTGAGGAGAGGGTATGGTACGTTGAAATCTGGATGCAAGAATTCTTTTTCTCTCTCTTGGACTGCTTCAGTTCAAAATATTTATCCCAGTCTCTTTTTGGAGGGGATTAGGCGTGGGTGGGACCAGCAAGAGGGAAGGGGAAGCTCATAGTTCACTGGAAGAAGGTAGAGACGGTGATTGGTTTTACAGAGGTTATTATACCTTGTGGAACTGTTCTTAATTTTGGATATATAACTTGTGGTCCAGTACCAAAAGCTTTGCATTTATACAGACTGAGCTCAATCTTGGAGGCTGCCCTCCATAAGAGTATTCCTTGGCTCATCTTGCCTTCAGCTATGTTTGAGTTTTGGAAATCTTAAAATATAAATATATCTTATGTAGATTTCTACAAATGTGGATAAAAGAGTCCCCAGCTTTTATACAAACATTCAAGGTAATTATGCATATCAGGAACAGTACAGCCTTTATTTCACTCCACAGTAAATGTGGAAAACACATCAAGGATGCACAATAATTGTGTAAACAATCAATATACTTATTCCTCTCTCATTAGTGAATTCCAACTTTCTGCTAGGGCCTTATGTAATTCCTCCAATATATAATACCACCTCATGCCTTGGGCTCTCCTTGTAAAGGAAATAAACTTGGGGTTCCGGTTTGCCTCAAAGACATATATCAGCCACCAGTTTTATGGTATGATTAAGAGCTATGATTCTGATTCTCTGTGGTATGTTTTTTAGGAGTAAACTTGAGAGGGGTCTATTGATCCTATAAGGAGAACCAGAAGAAGTTAAACATCATGTAAAGTCATGTTTGTCTCTGGGCTTTTCCTTTTTATGAAGGTGTTGTTTTTCAGTTGTTTCAATCATGTTCAATTCTTCATTATCCCATTTGGGGTTTTCTTGGCAAAGACACCAGAGTGGTTTGCCATTTCCTTCACCAGCTTATTTTACAGATGAGGAAACTGAGGCAAACAAGATTAAGTGACTTGCCCAGGTCCACACAGCTAGTAAGTGTCTGAGGCTGGATTTGAAATCAGGTTTTCTTGACTTCAGACTTGGCATTCTTTACATTGTGACACCTAGTTAATAGTTAAAGGATGTACCTCTAAGTACTCTACCATCTCTGCCCTTTATAAAGGTGCCATGGATGACTGAGAAATATTTATATTCCTTTCTAATCCCATTTAGTAATCACCATAGAACTATTATATTTGACTTTTCTAAAATTCTATTTATGTACTTAGTAGTTTTGTAATTTTACTTTTGTTAGTTTTTTCTAGGTCTGAAAGGGGCATGTTAAGGTCCCCAACTACTATAGTTTTGTTGTCTATTTTTCCCTGTAGTTCAGTTAGTTTTCCCTTCAAGTACTTAGGTCTATGTCATTCAGTGCATATATATTAAGTATTGATATTATTTCATTATTGATGGTGCATTTAAGCAAATACACTCTCCATGTTTATTTTAACCATCTCTATTTTTTGCTATTGGCTTGTTTGAGATCATGATTGCTATACTTGCTGTTTTGAATTTTCTTGAAGCATAATTAATTCTATCACTACCTTTCTAGGATTGAGAGGGTCTTCTAGAGGCTGTTACTGAATTCATGGCTCCAGACAGAATATACCTTACCCATTCTTCATATCTTTTTCTATCAGGAAATTCTTTCTGGTGTCTCCCCTCATGCCTTTGTAATGTAGTTTGCCACTGGTTTATTTATTCATTCCTTCAACAAACATTTATCAAATAACTTACTTTGTGGAAGGCATGGTGATTTACCTCTTATTCAGATGAGACAAAGAAGGAATATCCACACTTCTGACCCTCAGTAGACTGGGGACATTATAGCTCCTCTAGTGTTTCAGCCTTTCATAATAGTGACTGTGGTTTCACTGTGTACTGTACTGGGTTTAACACATGAGTGGGCAACAAACATGAGATAAGGTAGCAGAGCCTTATTTGATCAACTCCATTTGTGGCTGAGCCAGTGCTGCTTTTGAAAGTAGAAATGGATACCCCCAGAACCTGGGTTTTCCATGAAGGTTACATAGTCATTTAATCTAAGCCTAGCTATTCTACTGAGGGTTATTTCATGGCCACAAAGGGTGATTTGAAATCCAGAATGATTATTACCATTACTATTATTGTTAACTAATAGTTATATAATGCTTTAAGATTTATAAAGCATGTTACAAATGTTAACTCATTTTATCCTCACAACAACCCTTTAAGGTATATTTTGTTATAGTGAGAATTTACTTTACTAATTTACTACTTTATAGATGAGAGAACTGAAGCTGAGAAGGGTCCAGTGACTTGTCCAGAGTCACATAGTTAGTCATTGTTTTGAAGCAGGATTCAAGCTCAAGTGTTCCTAATTCCAAGTCTGCCATTCCAGCCATTACACTGTCAACTATTTATAATTAGTGTAAGACTACTTGGGGTTGAGAATACAGAGCTAAACCAAGCTCATGGAAAGAGTACTGGTGAGTACTAGCTCTGAAGACAGAGGTTTTATTGTTAGTCATTGCAGTTACATCTCTTTGTGACCCCATTTGGGGTTTTCTTGGCAAAGTAGTGTGCCATTCCTTCTCCAGTTCATTTTACAGATGAGGAAACTGAGGTAAACAGAGTGACTTGCCCAGGGTCACACAACTAGTAAATGTCTGAGCCTGGATTTGAACTCACAAAGATGAGTCTTCCTGACTTCAAGCCTGGCACTCTTTCCACTGCACTACCTAGCTGCCCAGGAGTCAGAGGACCTGAGTTCAAATCTTACCTCTGATGTTTATTACCTATTTGACTTCAGGCAGGCTACTTAACTTCCCTGGGCTTCAGTGTTCTCATCTATAAAATGAGGAGGTTGGGCTAGATGGCCTCTAAGGTCCTTCCCAGAACAATGTCAGGTTTGAAAGGAGAAACTATGTG